TGGTTTTGCTGCTTTCCTTGCTCATAGATTAACTGAGTCTCTGCACCTGGTGTCTCACTTCATTTACTGGGTCATCACTGTTAATTATTTCTTTTCTTTAGTCTTGCTTTTTCCCACAGAAGTTCCCTATCTACACAAGAATGAAGAAGTAAACAGAGAAACTTCAGGAATACAGAAATAAACTAGTATTTATTCCATGTGGCTATACACAAACAATTCCTGATCCACCTTAAAAAAAATCCAATATTTTAACAACTCATCAGAACCTGTAGCTGCACTTCATCCAAGATCAGCAAGTGGTAGAAATTCACTTTTCCACTTGGTGAACAGAAAGGAGGAGAAGAGAAACGGCTGAGATGTCAAATGAGGATACATAAAAATTAATGGAGTGCTTTTTCAACAGTATTTTATTACAGAGAGGTCCCTCAGACTTTAGGCCTACTGTGTCCAAGCATTAAAATTTTTAAGGAGACATTACTTGCAATGACTGCCTTGTTCTCTTTCTCTCCTTCTCCTACCTTCACATCTTTTTCTCTCTGTACCCACCTACACATGAACAGCCTTTTCCTTTGCCTTTTCCTTTAGCCTTTGTGTTGTGCCAGCCTTCCAGCAGTGACCTCTGAACACTGATTCCATTTGTTCTCAAACCTGAACTAGTCTGGTTTATGTCATCTCATCAGTTCTGATCACCCTCACCTCAGGGAAGGTGTCTTCTCTTCCTACATGTTTCTAAAATCTGCTGCAGAAGAAATAATAATGATGCCTCCTACTCAACTAAAGTTCAAAGCCTGTGAAAATACAAGCTATCTACATGCCTTTGCTCTTCTTATAAATTAGTAATGAGTCTGGAATGCTTCCCCACAGCAATTAAGACACTTTCAGTAAAATTACTATATTCTGCCACGGAGATTTTATTTAAAAAAAACGTTACACATCTTCTATTAACATCACGACCAAGAACTGGACAAACAACTCCCAGATTCCAAAAGGCACAGCCAAGAAATGCTTCTTGTCCTCACTAGTTTACAGCCACAAGGGTTAAAGTAAGCAACACTCACAACAAGATGAGAGTTTCAGTGCACCAGAATACACATATGAAATAACAATTATTGTCACCTCTGTTAGAAACAAAAGAACTGGGTGGCTTTGTGTTGTTGGCAAGGAGGCACTGAAGGAGGTGAAGGAAGAACAAAACTATCACCACAACCAGTAACACAGAAAGGTCCAGCATGTCAAAAAGATTGCAAAAAAAAATTTGCTCTTGAAGTTATCTTGTAGCATTTATTCATTTATTAAGCTAAGAAAATCAAATATTCATAATGTCAATTTGGTAAGTGAAACATTCAGCCCATTCTGAAAAAAATGTTAAAATGCTGCCTATGTTATTTCTTTTCAAAACACTGCTGTTGGATGAAAAACATGACAAAGGTGGCTTGTTCCCAATCCACTTTCTGCTCACACAAATTTTCACTCTCCTAGTTTATCAATTTAAAGTAGTCCTGCAGAAGAACAGGCTTCAAAAATTGCTTCTCAGTGCATCTCTTTCTATAATACTGCATAGCAAAGAGCACAAGCCAGAGGTTTTTAAACATTACCTTCATAGAGCACTTCATACTGAGTGGGAACACAGCTGTATCCTTGGATCAAACCTGGAAGGCATTCCTTGCAGAAGGAGTGGAGGCAGGGGAGCATCCTGGGCTCCCTCCTCCGCAGCTCCCATTTGCACACCAAACAATTCCACAACAGATCCAGGGTCTCCATTCCTGCTGGCTGAAGTGTGGCCCTGAAAACATGAAGAGTCACAAAATGGCTCATGGCAAGCCCTGCACCTCACAAAACACTCAATCTCTCAAGTGCAAACCAGAGGGCAACACGGGATGCACGATCAGATAAACATTCATGTGGCCCCTGTGGAAAAAAAAAAGTTCCTTGCAGCTGAAAATCACATACCTGCTTTACAGAGGAGAATATCTTTGCAGATTGTTGTGCAGGAGAGCGTGGTTTAAGGTTTACAAACCATGATCCCACTATCTCTCTAGTATTTGCAACTTCTGTAGAAACTGAACTAATCTGTTCTATTGATCTCCTTACAAAGCTGAATTGTCACACGCTGTACACTTCCTGCTAGAAGCACTGAAACTGTGCAATTAAAATGATGAGATTCTCTGGCTGCTTTTACAATTTCACTCAAATATTTTACAGTTTTCATGTAAAGAAAATAGTACCCACAAGTCCATCATTTCAGGAATGCATCTTAGAAAGCTGCTTTGAAAAATGTACAGCATCTTCTGACAATCTTCTTTATAGAAAAACCACTTTGCAGTAATCAAATTTTAGCTATTAGGACAACCACAGATCAGATTATAGCTTCCTAGTGTTCCTCCCACCAGCCTAAGCTCCCCAAGGTCAACTGAGAGTTTTGCAGTTCATGTTTCATCCTCAGCTCTGAGATTGTCAGAGATGTTGATCGGATACAGACTGCAAAGGGCAAATCCTGCAAGTTGTAGCAGAGGAGAAAAAGCAGATAAAGCCTCATTTCCTCTGGAGCCTCTCTTCCAGCTGATCCAGCCTCCTGGCACCAGAGTCCCATGGAGCTGCTGATGGCCCTGGCATGGTGGCCCTGCTACCAGCAGGATGGAACTGAAGCTACAGGAATGAGCTTCAATCTCCAGATTTCTCCAGCACAGAAGAGCAGCAGCTCTAATCTTAGAGCTATCTCTTCTCCCGAGGGATTCTGTGTTCTGGTAGATTCCAGTGGAAATGGTTAGTAAGCAGATCTGGGTTTGGGTTTTTATTCTGCAATGCAAAAAAAATTATGAATGTCTCAGAAATTAACAACCAGTAGTTTTTTAAAGCATTGTATCGTGAAGTCTTCAATATTTAAAATATTTTAGAAGAAAAATGGACCCTATGTTAAAGTCTGCATCCTATTTCATACCCAAGACCCATTCAACTAGGTAGATACCCACCAACTTGACTGACAAATTACTTAGATAAATTCAAACCTACAACTAAAACTTCAGATTCCAATTCCAAAACCAGAGGACCCTTTGGAGATGAGCTGTGCCAACTGTACCTGTGGTTTAATTAACATTTTATCAGTGCTTATTACACAAGCTCACTTTTTACAGTGCATCTTTATCAACCATCTATCAGGGGCAAATGTCACTGAAGCAGCACAGCCTCTCACCTCATTTCATCTCTCTCATTTCTTGCAGCTCCTGTTGCTAAGAAGACAAAGTTGCACCTACAAAAACATGTAATGTCTGCAGTAGGAAGCTGAGGTCTGAAATTACCACAATGTTGACACAGAGAAACCACAGCCCAAAGCATCCATGCACAGAGAACCAGTGCAAACAAAGACCGATACTGGGAAATGCTCTGTCACCTTACAAGCCAAAGCTGGGGCTGGATAAGATGCAGGCTACTGTACATTTCAATTTAGGCCTTTTGAACAACATGCAAAACTGAGTAGAAGTTTTTTGGTAGGAAGGGGAAGAGTAAGAGTGAAAGAATGTGTTTAAAATTTAGTTCTGAGGCAGGTATGCACAGTAGTAGTCAGGCAGCTGGAGGAGGAGAAGGCTGATGATTGTAATGAGCTACAAGAAGGCCCAGAAAGAGAATCCAGGGAATCCCAGGCCTGACCTTGGTGCTGGGGAAGGTCGTGGTGCAGATCAGCTCGAGCACCATCAAGTGGCACTTGTGCAACAGCCAGGGCATCAGACCCAGTCAGAGTGGGCTCATGGAAGCAGCTCCTGCCCAAGAAACCCAATCTCCGACACCGTGACCCCCTTGGTAGTGAGGGAAAGGCTGTAGCTGTCTGTCTGTCTGCCTGGACTGCAGGAAAGCCTTGGACACCACTTCCCACACCTTCTTCTGGAGAAACTGGCTGCCCATGGCCCGGAGGGGTCACTGGATAAAGAACTGGCTGGATGGCTGGAGCCAGAGAGTGGGGGATGGAGCTACATCAGCATCACAAATTAGGAAACAGCAATCCCAGCAGCTAGTGAGACACAGCTCCCAAACTCCTCTGTATTCTGGAACAAACTGCCCACTTATGCCATAGCTACTCACAAGCAGCAGGACCACTGCTGAGATGAACTATTTTATAAATGGAATACACGTCAACCTCACCCTAAAAGCCCTCTAAATTTAATTGCTGCCAAACACTAGAAGTTGATTACCTAGGATTCTGTCACACACATACTTGAAGTCATGTGCATCAACTTCAGCAGCAAGCATAAAATAAGTGACAGCATCTGTAGGCTCTTGGTCTGACACTTGAGAACCAGCTCACTGCTTTAGTTATTTGTTATTTAGTCATTAGTTACTGTTTCCATTAAATCCTGCTTTGGCATGCAGGGCTAAGCCTTGCAGACACCACAAGTCCTGCTTTGATGTTACAACCAAGCAAGGATTATTTCAGGTCATCATTTCAAACCAGTACATCAGCACTGCACACAGAGGGTTTTAGAGCTGTGCCACTGCTTTTCCAGCTGTAAGGAAGGTTGAGGATAGCTGGCACCAATTGTCCCCCAGCTGGGAACAGCAGGAATTGCATACCCAGCCTGGGGAGGGCAGATTGCAAATGTCAATTTACAGTTACTGGTACACTGCTGTCACTTTGCATTTCCTTGTCCACAGTCCTGCTGTTCCATTCCCTCAGGCCAGGGCACCATCCCCACAAACTTCCCCTGGATGCCATTTTAGTGTTCAAGAATCCCCATCAAAATCACATCAAGTCCTCGTCTCAGCTGTAGAAAGGATCACTAACAAAAGAGCAGCACAAATACAGAACTTAATTTTGCCACCCTATAAAGACAAAACAATGAGATATCTGCACATGGCAGGTACTGAACACTGTAGTCAGGCACTTTCAAAACAAAGTGAGAAGCAGTCAAACCACTGATCAAATATTATGCAGGTAACATTAAGTGTGAACTGTGTCTGAAGATGTCAGGAAAGAAAAATCAGAACAACCCAAACTTCTGTAAACCAGCTCATTTTATGCATTGTTTATTCAAAAAATTTGAATAAAACAAAAACTTTTATGCCACAAGCACACAGGCACCACCAACTTCTTTGATCTTCTCCTCTGCTCTTCTACTGAAGAACTTGGCTTTCACAATGACAGGCTGCTTGGGCAGCTTCCCCTTGCCCAGCACTTTGTAGTAGCCCTAGAAAGATTTAAAAGAGAAGTTCAGTGTTTGTAATCAGCTTGCAGGCTCCTACATTCAGGCCTGTTAGCACACACTGGTTAAAAACAAAACCACGATCACCATGACCTTATGCAGTCAATTCATTACATTAAAAGGACAATCATGACATGAAGACAATTAACAAAGAGCTGCTGAAGTCACAGGAGGTGAGAAGTGGCCCTAAGCGGCCAGCAGAGGCAGAGCAGTGTCCCTGATTCGGTGGCTGGCTGAGACACAGGACATCAGAGCCAGTGAATATGGATCAGGTGTTCCTGTCCGAGAACTATAGCACACCAAGACAACCAAACATGTGGAGATGTGACTCTAGTCTCGAGGGTGACATGGTGTGAGACCGGCCCCACCATGGCTTTGCTCCTTCAGGAACATCCCAAACCAGCCATCCTTCACCTTCACCACCCAAAGGAGGGCAGTGCCTGTTCACAAACACACACCAGCAGGACAAAATGTCCTTACAAGGAAAAATGCAACACCCAAAGTGCTCCTGTAACTACTCAGAGCCCAGGGATCTGTCTGCTGAGCCTCTGAGCACAAAGCACTGGAGCTTACGTGCAGCTGAGCACCTGCCCAGCGGGACAGGCCCAGCCAGGCTCCCCTGGGAGGGCAGCAGGGCCAGGGCTCAGCCCCAGCAGCACTCACCGAGCGCACGACGTCGATGACCGGGGCCAGGCCGGCCTCGTTCTTGGCGTAGTTGAGCCTGGTCTGCTCGCTGACCAGCGTCCACAGCTTGTCCAGGTTCACAGTGGGACAGAACTTCTGGTTCCTCTTCAAGTGATAGTGCCTCATGCCCACCTTCCCAAAGTAACCGGGGTGACTGTGGCACAAACACATTCCAGAGTAGATCACAATTTAACTCATCCTGAACAAGCAGAACTCTAACACTGAAACAAGCATCTTACAACATCAGAGTGTCCACAATGTCACGTTACCCCCTTTTGCATATTAGTGTGTGTAGAATTTAGGTGCAATAATGATTAGTATCCAAACCAAGGAACAATTACCTTCTATTTAAGTGTTCCTTCCCCCTTGAGCTCACCCCTCAATCCCCCTCCCTGCTGAGGCTGTATTTCCAGGGAAGCCCCACCTCCACGGACCCCGGGAGGCCTGCCCTGCCTGGGAAGCTGTGGCATTGCTGTCACTAACCCGGTGACTGACTGGGCCAGGCAGGGCACAGCCAGTGAATAGAGATTAGTGGTTCCTGTCCGAGCACTCCAGCACACCAGGACCACGGGCAGGGCCCAGATGTGACTCTATAGTCTCGGGAATCACAACATCCCTCCCCTTTACCTGGTGCAGCCAACAGGATTGAACACCACATTCTGAATTTGCTCTGTGTGCACTGCTAAGCAGGGACCACACTCTAACAGGCAAATTTGGCCAGCTTTACCTAATGCTACAATGAACTCCCCAAAATCCCAAGTGAAAAGGTTTTTGATTTTAGGGTAAGTGGGGACATGAGCAGCTGTAATGCCACACTTCCCATTAAAGGAAAAAACACACAGGATTGCAGAAAACTTTGCTTATTCACATATAAAAGTCAGTTGCTTCTACTTCATGAGCATGCATGTTTAGTAGATATTTAAAACGTTAGCTTACTATTTATCAAAGTTAATCCTGTGATGGTGCAAACCACCAGCATTACCACGTCCTCCAGGATGCTTCCTGTGTTTGCCTGAGAAAAAACATTTTAAGCTTGTTACATTGCTATTACACATAATACTTAGAGATACTCTCAATGTCAACTTAAACTAACTATTTTATCTTGTGGTATGACAAGGTTGGCATGGATAAGAGTTTAAAGGGAGACTGCACTGCCCTGGAAGTTGAAGATATCGCATACCCAGTACTGATGGGCTGAGCAATGCTGAAGTTAGAAACCCAGGGAGTCTAAAACGTGCAGGACATGATCACGCGGCACGCTGCGGCCTTCAGCACCGCTCGATATTCCTAGGGTGCCCGGCACGCACAGCCCCATTTTTAGGGATGCGGGAAGGGCAGCAGCAGCATCCCCTCAGCGCCGGGGAAGCCCCGGCGGGGCCGCGCCGCCGCAGGCCCCGGCGCACCCGCGGCCGCCTCTCCACTCACCCACGCGGCCGTGGCCGTGGCTGACGTGTCCTCTCAGCTTCCGCGTCTTCCTGAGCCGGGAAGGCTGCGGGGAAGGGGGAGAGTGGCCGTGAGCGAGGCGGGCAGCGAGCGCCACGAGAACCCCGCGCCCGCCCCGGGAACCGCGCAGCCGGGCGCCATGGCGAACCGGCCTCCCCGCACCGCTCTCGCCCGCCGCGGGCTCAGAGCCGCGCCTCCCCACCACCCTCCGCTACTCCGCAGTCCCGTCCCGCCGCGGGAGCGAGGGGCGGCGGCCGCAGGGTCCCGGTCCCATCTCGATCCGATCCCATCCCAGCCCATCCCCGCCGGCCCGGCCGCAGCTCCCACCATCTTGCCGGCGTGCGCGAGGGAGAGAAAGGGCGCGGCTCTCGCGAGAGCGGGCAAAGGAGCGCGGGGCGGCGCCGAGATCTCGCGAGGCTTCGCTGAGGCGGGAGCGCCGGGCGGAGCTGTGAGGGGCCGGGCCCACAGTTCCCCTCAGGCGCCCCCCGTCTGCTCCCGGCGCGGAAATCGGAGCTTTAAACAGAATTTAGCAATATTTGGAAATTTGGTCACTTTATTAAACATCCATAATAGTGGGAAAATGAACACTACGTCCTTAAACACCATTACTTGCCACACTGGAGTGTGAATTCCTGGAGTGTCACTGTTTCTTAAGTTTGATTTCTAGGGGTTTTTTAAATGGATTTTATGCTGTTAAGATTTTAAACAAAACTTGACCAATTTTAAACACAGGCCTCAGGATTAAAATTTGCCAATTTTAAACACAGGCCTGGATTTATTTTTCTTTAGAATTTTCCTGGTGCATTTACAATGTTCCATGCTCAGGAACACCATTAGTTTCAACAACTAATTTAGTAGGGAAAATAATGCACTCCTTGGTTTCTGTTCGTCTCATCCCTTCAAGCACAGACCTCCAGACACCACAAGGATTGTTTCACACAGCTCTAGTCTGAGGATCAAAAAGGCACCCATAGATTTTTTGGGCCATGATCTCACCTTGCCCAGTGGTATCCTCTAATTCACATTGCAAAAATGGGAACACGTTGACAGATGACACAATGTTTAAAAGCTTTCTCCTTTAATTTTTAAAGTGCAAATGGAGCAAAACAGCTTTGGCACAGGAGATGGGTTTTACAGCACAACATTCTTGTACATCGGCTTTGTCTTGCCTTTGCAGTAACTCCACAGCATGTCCTGATACAGTTTTATCCATCATTTTCTGAAGAGGAATTATGTATTTCCCCCTACAGTTACTAGCAGCTGTTGTTTATAAAAAGGCCAGAAGCCACCTGTACAAGTGACATTACTCCTTCCACGCTCAAGAATTACATCTAGCAATCATTCTGGAACTTGGAACATATCACAGAGTAAAACTAATGGAAGTTACCAGTTTTGGTGACATTTCATCTGTAGCAAAAGCACCTGGTATTTCACTGACATTTCACATACACTTAAGATGCTTTTGTGGATTTTGGAGTGTGAGGGAGGTAACTGAAAAAGGAAACGACTTCACCTTTTCAGTGAACAGCCCTCGAATTTGCTCTATGAGGCTGATAGCAAACCAGAACCACTGTCAGGTCAGGAACTGCGCAAGCCTCAAAGCCCATCTAACTACAGCAGTCACGCTGAGAATGACGAACACCAGAGCGTGGTGGGTTTCCTTTGAAGGTAAGAGGCTTCAGCTAATTTTCATTATCTGTCAGATCTGAAGCATTTTATATTTTTTTTAATATTTTCTTCTTCAGACTATGGGAAAACTTATAGAACCTTAACAGGAGCTCTGTTTCTACATCAAGGAAGAGTGTGACACTTGAGCACCAAGCACAGCACAAAGCCAACTGAAAATTCCATAGGTCAGGAGCAGTATCTGTGATACAAAGATAAAATCATTCGCTGCTAACCCATGAAAAAATGTTTTAACAGATGCTTTTGTTAGGATAAAATTATTTAAAAAGGGGTATAAAATGTCTCTTGTCTTAGCCCTAGTGAAAAACACTGAAGAAACCCTAAAGTGAAAACAAAAACAGCAAACCTACCAAAAGACAGGTTTGTAATATCCACTTTACATTTTAATTACAAATTCATTTAAAAATCACAGGTGAGTTGCTGTGTTTGTACCTGCTCCACATGAGGAAGTGCAGAGGTTTGCAATGAATATAAACAAACAGGTCTATTTACAGAGTTTATTAGGATCCATACATACATACACTAGGAAAGGCTGTACTGTACCTACTTGCTGCAGCTTGCATGTCAAGAGAGCTGAGATCTCCCCAGGCTTAGCATCTTAGTGCACAGTGGGTTATAAGGAGTTTACTGAGTTCAAACCAAGTGGAGGTTCTGCAATGTGAACCAAGTACCTTATTATCAAGTTACTTTGTTATTTCTCCTTTAAAATCAGTTCGAAGGAAACAGACAGACAGACAGACAAGCGCCTGTGCCGCACGAGAGCAGCCCCGTGCATAAAACCTCTCCCACGTACCCGAGCTCATTCACCCCGCAGTGTTCAGGCATCAAACATCCCTTGGAGTCAGTGGTTCTGCTGAGACAGTCAGCTGCACATAATCAGCTACTCGTTTTTGCACCAAGCATAACTCAACTCATACTAAAGAAAAAAAACAAGCACCTGGTATTCTCAGGAATATACAAATATTTACCACAGTTTTCTCGCTCATTACAAAATCAGTTACAAAAGCTTACAGCACATTATGTACAAACTCTGCCCAAAAACATGGAGGAGCCATCCTGTGGCACACTGACACAGCATCCATGGATCTTCTTCTGGAGCTGCCTCAGCTCGCTCCGCTCTCCTCCCGCTCTGCACTCCAGCGCCGCAGGTCTCTCGCACGGTGCCATAAATAGGTTTTGGGTTGGTGTTTCAGCAGGAAGGAGCTAGTTCTTCTTGTGGAGGAACTTCATTTTGTTACCTAAAGGAAGCACACCGTCAGTCTCCAGCAGATTGCAAAGTCAATCCAAAGTGACAGCAAATGGGTGTAACTTGTAATCAGCATCAGCAGGCAGAGCTGAGTTACAGAACATCGACTGCCCCAACCCCTTCCTGTTCCACTCCTCGATCATGGCTTGGTTCCCCCATCCCCAAGTGAAAATGAAAGTGTTAACAAGGACCATCATTAAATCTGGTTTTACACCTTTAACTATGTTTTTCATTGTTTTCTTTTTCTTAATTCCTATCATGCTGAAACCACTCTACTACCTCAGTTCACCTCGGGTACGGCTTTTTCAAATTAACAACAAAAAAAAACACCACAACCAAAAGCCAGCATCACAATGAAAATCCATTTCAGAAATACTTCTAAAGATTTTCCTCACCGAGGCCTCGCAGGAACTTGTTTACTCCACTTTGTTCCGTGTCCGGGAGCTCTTCCAAGTACTGTTCCACCCTCTGCTCGAAGAGCCCTGCGGCAGACAGGGAGACAGGGATGGGGTGAGCCGTGTCCGGCTGATCCCGGGCCCCGCGCAGGGCCCCGGCTCCCGCCCCGGCAGCCTCCGCTCGCTGCGACCTTCCGGTTAACCGGGCAGGATTTCAGGGATGGTTTCCGCTTTCCCGGTGAGCGCAGGGGGATGGACGGGCACTGCTGCAATCCGCGGGATCCCAGCGGAACAGCGCAACCCGCACCGCAGGGGAGACACCCACCCGTACCTTTAGCCCTGCATTTCCTCAGCTCTCTGTCCTGGATGAAACCGGCGAACATTTGGGATTCCATGAAAACTTCCAAGAAGCGGCGGATACTCTTGGAGGCCACAGATTTACGGAAAGCCTCCCTTTGGAAGGCACGCTCTCCTTTTTCATTCTGGGTTAGGAACAGGGAATAATGGCCAACTGTCTCCACAAAGAATCGGATAAAAACCTCAGACACTAATCCATTCAGGGTGTTACATTCTGCAAAATAAGGCAGCAATAAGACACCAAAATCAGCTGCTACCACCAGAGCTGTCAGCATTATCCCCGCAGGGCCAGGCTGTGCATCTCCCGGTTCCCTGATGCCGCGCTAACAGCTGGCCGGAGTGGCAGCGGCTCCCTGCACACCTGGATGCACATGGAGAGGGGGACAGCGCCATAGCCACGGTGCCAGTCTGCAGAATTGGTGTTCTGTGACCAAGAGTCAGCGAGAATTACAAATCCTCAGCAAACAGCTCAGCAAATTAAACATTTGATGGGTGTTTCATCAAAATCAAACCTGCTGTTTTCACTCTTGAGCAAATTCTCTTCAAAAACTTCTGAATGACTCAGCATTGAAATATTTTTCCCTGAGGATAATAAGTCTGTACCAAAAACTGATCAAAAATAGTCTGTTGTAGAATTTGGGCTTTCATAGTTTCTGAGATATTTAAACAGTCTTATATATATAATACATATGATTAGAAATAAATTCCAAAAACTGAATAAGGGCCTGTTTCATACCATTTAACCACAGGCATTCAATTCACCCTGGGCTGTTTTTATCACTGCTGAAGAGAAATATGAACCTTCAGAGACAGCCCAACCCATCTTGGACTAAAATTCTTTTCTGGTGGTACCTGCTTCTCCCCTGGAAATACCGAGTGCCAAGAGCAACTCAGACACACCCCTAAGCCTGGAGAATTATCTGGATTGAGTTAGGGCCAAGTTAACTGCAAACCTGTGTTTGAGCAAAGGTTCAGAGGGACCCACAGGAGTCCTTGTCATTTGCAATGAAATTAAAATAAACCACAGGTGAGGTATCACTGTCTGTTGATGCCGTCAGTCTCATTCTCTCTGTGTGCTCAGACACAGCCTTTGATGTCACCAAAGGTACTTGAGACCTCAAGTCCCATCTTTGTTTCTCCTGCATGGAAAATGACAATTCTGCCTACATTTGTCTATTACACAAGTCCCTGTTTCCAATGGAACTTACCATCATCTGAATCACTATCTGAATCCTGATTTAATAGTTCATTCTTTCTCTCTAGAGCCTGCTCCAGAGCAGCTTGCAATTTTCTAGGCAATAGTGTATCTTCATCATCCATCTGATGGAGGGAAAAAAAAATCCTTAATCCACAATAAACTATTCAGGAACTCCAGCAAATGCTTTCAGCAGGTTTAGAATTCAGATGAAAAATATTTGCATCTGCTAGTGTCATGGCTACATAAATAAAAGAATGAGAATCTATGTGCAACTAACAAATACTTGTAAAAATTTCTTGTCACTCTTAATAAGATTTAAGTCAAGAATGATAATCCAAAGAGCAGATAAACACAGAAATGTGGAACCAGCTCTTCACATGAAAGAGTCCAAATAGTTCTGTTTAACTAAATACACATCACATGAAGCCCTGCTCGGTGTACACATAGCTGCTGTAGTTGGTTGTAGGCAGCTCCTTTGGTCCTTGACAGTTGTTTTTACTGTTTTCTAGTCTGTCTTGTTTTCTGGGTCTTGCCCCTGTTTCTCTCTTCATCTTACTTTATGCTTGTTCACCAGAAGCCAGGTAAGCACAGGAGCCTTAGCTCAGCAGCCACTGTTCACCAGCCAGGGAATCAAACACAGAAGTTTCCCCATGCAACCTGCAGACTGTTGGTTTGAAATTATTTAGTGCCACATGACTGTCAGGAGATGGTGATCCCTCATGTCCTTGTTTACAAGGTTTCTGCTTTTCCTGTCACATTAAACTATTCTCCACCTCAGTGCTCTCACTCGCCAATTTTCTTTGCTATTTTTGTCCTTTTCACCTCCAACAGTGTGTGAGTTTTCTTGCTGAAGTGATGTTATTATCTTTGGATGTTTTCTTTCCACTGTGAATACAGTTCTTGATTCCTTCTGACAGTCACAGCCTCAATCCCTTCTGCCTACTGAGAAGTTCTTATTTGCAGGTGGAACAGAAAACGAGAACTTTTTTTCCCCTCATTGCTTTCCCTTTGCACAGACAATTCCTGCCAAATCCCTCTGATCAAAGAAACCCAATCACACCATAGGGGTAAACAGCTTGCTAGACTGCATGGCAGCATTCTGAGCTGTACTTTACCTGTCTGATGAATCGATCAGATCCCAGGTTAACCATCAAAGCCTACAGAAAAGAAAACACTGCTGTGAAATGTATCTGAAGACACAGAAAACATTCATTTGTTCATTGGTTTTTAATAGCAAAAGATCATCTGCTGAACAAGCCTCAACATGAATCAAATTCCTACTGTGAAACAAGAGGCTGTGTGCTTTATGAAACAACATGAAGGTTTTCTTTAGAGCTACAAGTCTAATTTAACAGAGATACAACAGATCTCATACTAGATTAATATATTAAAAAAAGCTAAAAGGGTTTTTTTCTTAAATCTATGCAAGTTATAACTAATAATTTTGTTAACATGCAGTTGAAAACTGTTTCAAGGGGTTTAAAGAAAACAATGTGGAGGCAGCAGGGATTCCAAAGGGCAAGGGTGTGAAATACTCATGATAAAAAAGCAGCAAAGCTGAGAGATGGAGCTGGGAAGATGTGGAAGAGCAATGTTAGGAAAGCAGAGGGAAATGGAGCAGAGATTTACCTGGGCCAGAGGCACACAGGGCCTTGGAAGTGAGCACAAGAAAATTCCTTAGAAAAATGATAGGAAACTAATAGGAGCAAGAGAGAAAAGAGTGTGTCCTTGAGTATTTTTGTGGGTTTTTTACTGGAAGAGCTGATGAAGTGCAACTCTCATTTAATTTCCAATATAGTAACAACAAAGTCTTAGAAGGTAAAATTGTTAAAGGTTTTGTCTCCTGTGTGGGCTATGGCTTCATGCACCACTTCCATAAGGATTAAGAGATGTCATAGCAGATGGCTTCCTCTTGTTCCAGAACAAATCAGCATACTTACACCCTAAATACTGGTGACCAGGTAAACATTCACTTGTCTCTGACAAGGTGCCAGGTGTGGAAGAGAGGCAGAATAAAAGAGAAGAATAAAGCTACTGCTGCAGCTTTGCCAAGAGGCAGTTGCCAATGAGAAGCAGGCAGAGAAGAAACAAAGAGGCAGATTAAAAATTAAACATGTGAGGATTTATGTCCCAGTGGCAGCCCTCTCCTAGGAGAGGCCAGCTTTACTCCAGGCAAACAATTGTGGTGCCAGCTCCTACCTCCTCTACAGGCAGGTCCTTGAGTTTGGGCAGAGAGCTGGAGAGCAGTCCCACCAGGAACGGGGTAGGGCAGCACACGATGTCAATCATGGACGAGGGCAGGACAGGAATGAAGGTGTGCTGCCAGGAGAAGGGGTACAGCAGGGCCACTACAGCATGGGAGCAGCTCGACAGGGTGCTGGGGAGACAGCAACAACCAGGTCAGCAAAGGCTTGTCTTGGTTCACAACACCTTCCACCCACTGAGAAACTGTTGAAATACAGGTGTCCAAGGTGCTGCCTCTCTGGCACTCGTGTCTTCAGACAGGCCTTGGTCCCCTTCCAGTCCCCACCCTCTCTGTGCTGTGCAGTGTGGCAGTTCACAGCACACCTCAAACCAAAGGTACAACACTAGAACCTGTTTGTTTCAGACTAGAATCCATTTGTTTCATAGGAGATGGTTTGATCTAGAAGTCAAGATTCAATGTTCCCAAAAGCACTCAAAAGCAGCCACTTTGAACAATTCTTAAAACCCAAAAGCAACTTCAGATCTTGGCTGTTATGATCATATCAGTAGTAAAAAAGCATAATAGTAAGGGTCCTAACTACAGGAACAAAGGAAAATGAAAAGTAAAATATAATTGGGAAAAAAATCCTCACAAAGAACTCTACCAAATCAGATATAAAAAGCCCCCAACAATCAATATCTGCTCCAAAGGAAAGCTGGTAAAAGCAACACATTTTTCAAAGATAGTGTATTTTTTTGACAATAGCATCTTTTTATTATAATACATTTTAAAGGACTTATTAACCAACTTCAGTGATAAAGGTATTGATCCTGTTCAGCAGAGTACTCTAAAATACAGGTTGGTAGCTCCTAAAATTTAAGGCTTGATATTATCATGGCAAATGTCCTTCCATCACTGAATCCAATTCCCTTTTACAGTCACATGGTTTCCAAATGTTAAAAATTAAGGAACATCATTACCAAGTGAGTTTTCACATCAGGGGAATAAAGACAAGCTCTCCATATCACAGCTACAACATCTGCCTCTCACAGGCTGAGATGACAGAAATTTGGATCCAACATGACTGAACTAATTTTCTTGCATTGCAAACTTCTGCTGTGCTTAATGTAGCCATAAAGAACTATAAATAATAAATGCAGAGCTGTTACTGCTTTAAAATGCTGGGGAGAGATGCTCATTTCTTCTACTGCAAGACTTGGTGGAGACTTTAGGTGGCATCAGACCTCCACCAGAATAACCTTCATCAGCATTTTTACTTCAGTTGTGAATTGTTCCAAGGCCAGAGGAAAGGTTTCACCTGTTTGTTCCCATCAGTGATTTACCTTCAAAGTTTGCTGCATGAGAAAAATGAGAATAGGGGACAAAGAGAGAAAATGTTGGGGAAAAGCAAATCCTTGTGTTTTACTGCAAATAATCTGCTGGCTTGGTTTTAATTGACACTTCCTTTAAGATCTGACAATCCTAGCATGGATTTATAACAAATGTTGCCTGACACAAGACTCTTGTAAAATTATGCATTTCTCTAATTTGTATTTTTATATATAACAAGCAATGGTGCTGCCATTGCCTCATATTTTGGTCTCAAGCATTTACCACAGCAAGCACACTGGTGGTGTTTTGGAAGAGCTGTGGAACATGGTACAGACTCCCAGCACTTCCTCAAGATCACTTCAATGACTCCCTGGCATTTTCACCTACAACAAATTCAGTCATCTTAGCTGAGCAACTAAAAAAAGAGCCATGTTAAGCTAAAAGCAGGAAGACAAACATTCTTCTGCTCTTCAGTGAGTATTTGTTTCCTTTCTGTAAAATGCCCTTTTGTAACATGTTGTGTTACATGCAGTGCTGTGACGTAAATCAGCCCCTGCAGCCTCTTGTGCCTGCTATTCCCACGCTGGGGAGGCTTCAGCCTCCAGCCCAGGACACTGGAATCTCTTCCTGAGCTTTCCTGGGAGCCGGCTGGGGCAGGGCAGAGCCCAGGGAGCAGAGTGCTGGGGGTGTCCTGTGGCAGCAGCCAGCTCTAGCAGGGGTGCCCTATGCTAGCACCCCACGACAGTCACACCACTGCCCTGGCAGCGCCTCGGCCTCTGCACTTCGGCATTCTGCACACAGCTCTTCAGTTCAGCCTCAGAAAATCTTTCCTTCTGGAACATCTCATCCCCATGAAACATCCCCTCCAAGCTTCCAGCCCCCAGAATGTCCTGCTGCCATCCCTGCTGGACACCCCTCTGCAGGACTCCTACAGCTGTCACCAAACTCCTGCTTGTACAAAGTGCCTGTGTCTCTGCTCTAGCTGGAAAGATTCGTACTTAGAATGAATACACACCTTTCACTTCACTGAAATTTCACCGTTTGTAAGGTAAAATTCAGAGGTGATGGGTGTAAAGGAACCCCCAGCCTAAATCTTCAAAATACAGTTCAGAACCTTTTAAAGGGATATTACTGATGAGAAGCATGTTTAGTAAAGTAAAAAAAGAAAGGCCTACCCTGGGAAACCAAGTGTGCTCCAGTTTTTCCTTTCAAAATGTGCAACCCACACATTATCCAACTATTCTTGTTTATGAGAATTAAGCAGTAAGGTCAGATGGTTTATTTTCTTTAAGGTGTGTGAAGCACACAAAGTAAAGCAACAGAATCATCAAAATTAGATTTTCAAAATATTTTCACTTTTAATACTCTAGGGCAGTTCCAGAGAGCTGGTTTGAAGAGTGGGCTTTTCCATTTGGCCTGTGCCAAAGTTTTACAGGAATGCTGCATAATATTCTAGCTGTTGTTGACACTTCTTGATTTCCCTGGGTTTTTTTCATCTTGTAAAAAAATCATTTGGAATTTGCCAACATTTTGGTTTTCTCTATGCCTTTTTATTCACTGGATTAAAAAAAACCTTCAGTGTTTGATCTTCTCCCCGTGAAGGCAGTAATACAAGATTATACAAGTATATTGAGACATTTCTTAAAGACAAATTTCTCTTTAAGAGATCCTTTATCATGTTACAGGCAAAATATGACATTGCTTCTTTCCCACTCAGAGTTGATTTATGTTCCTCTGGGCTATTTTGTTTCCCAAATCATTTTCTCATGATAGCACACAGAATCTTTTCCTTGTTGTGTTGCTGGTTGGGGAGATGCAAGCTCAGACTGAGAGCTGAGGCACAGAATTTCAGACACAGCTGTTACTCAGCTGAATTTTGGAGACAGCTTATGAACACCGTTTAGATCTACATCAAAAAGCAAATCACTGTGACTTAACAAGAACCTTTTCTGTCCTTTAGATAGGGAGAATGTCTGGTAGCAATTTCTGGGTTGGCCAACCAACAAATAACCCCAAGCTTAGGCTGTATCCATATCTTATCACAGCACAATTAGCACACTCTGAGAAGGACAAGCTGCTGCAGGGGATGGACACTGCCCTGGCTGGGATGTCAGTGCTGGCTGTGCTTGTTTCAAGGACTGTGCCTTGTTGCACACTGCGAGTCGCCAACTCTCGCAAAGTGCTAAAGGCATATTCAGTTACAATTTCTACTCCCAAAGGAAATATTCCACAAATACCCTTGATAAGTCTCTTTTCTTTCTAACAATAGCCAACAGTCATTCCTTCCTGCTTCTCCCTCCACACCTAGAACTTCTCACAGGCCCAAGGGAGCTTCACACACTGAGCATCTCCCAAATCCAGGATTAAGCCTCTAGCACAGACAACCACTTGCTGGTTTAGCTCCCTGATCCCACCTCACTATTGACATGCACCTCCACAGTCAGTTTGGCATTTGCATTGAAGGAGAAAGCAGGAATATCCCTTTCCTTCCTCCACTTCCCCTGAGGGACAGACAAACTTCCTCAGCCAGGAGAAGAGGGAGGCACCCCTCACATGCAGGGCCAAGCCACCCAGCAGTTGTGTCACCTCAGACTGGTGCCAGCTCTGTGCTGTGCCAGTTCTCTGGACCGTGCCCTGGACTGGGACCAACTCAACCAGTCTGGGCTCCCTGTTCCCTCACATTGAGAAACACAGCCAAAAATGTAAATTCACAAAAAAGTGTTTCCACTGTTTACTTTTCCACAACCTTTTTATGTTCCTCATCTCTCCCTGCTGATTAAATGATGTTGCTCTGCCCACATTTGCTGAAGTCTTTAATCTGTCCTGTTGACACATTCATGCTGCTGCCCACAAGCACTTTGAGCTACCTCCCTGACACACATCCCTTGTCTGCTCAGGAGAGCTTCCTTCCACTTGAGGCTGGAGTCTGAAGGCTCTGTCCTTCCCAGGTGTCCTTCCCATCCCTTGACTCACTTGGGTATTACACACCCTGACACCTCATCACAGGCCATGGCCCTGCTTTTCTGGGACACTCCTACCCTTGGGCCACTGATGAACTGTGTAGCAAAAACAGATCCCTGACACTTCCCTTGTCGACTCTTCCATGCCTCTCCTGATCCTGGATTAACTCCAGTCTCTCACAGAGGCCTGTGACAACTCTGCAAGATAAAACAGTCTGAGAGGTTTGCAGAGGACTCTAAAGGACTCTGGGGAGAGGCTACAGGCCAAGTGCTCAGCCCAGCTCCCCTCCAGCACATACAGGCCGCAGAGGTGGAAAGGACAAAGTAGAAAACTTGAAAAGCATCAAGTAAAGGGCAAGTGGAAGTAAAAACCATGGCAGCCTGATAGACTTTGGGTGGAGATGGAGAGCAGGCAGCATTGCTGTTGCTGTGCTGGCAGTAATTCAGGGCAGTACTGTGCTGTGCCAGATAGGCAAAATAAAGGCCCTGACAAAATAAAGGTTTCTCTGGGTGCATAAGAATAAATAAGAGCAGCATTATTAATCAGGTTGATAAGACTAAGTAATAGCATCAGGGACAAGACATAAATGAAAACTTCTAAGTGTCAGAAGTGACAGTCTCCAAACTCCAGCGGGCTGCAGTGAGCTCCTGCAGCATTCCTGCAGGTCAGCTTTCGAAGTGAGCCCTTGAGGATCCCTGGCCCTGGAAAAGCTGCCTGACAGTGGGGACATGTTACTGCTTTCTCCCTGCTCCAGAGTGTGGGTGCTCAGCTCCAGGACTCCCCCTGATCCCCAGGTGCTCTGCTCCTGAGGCCCCCTGAGCCCCCACATCAATGGTTTGTCCTTCATTCCGGGTTCTGTGCTGTGAGGATACATTTTTTGTTAATCCACCAACTACTCA